AATTTGATTGCTGCATTGCTTTAACCTCATTGTAACAGTGTTTGCTTCAGCAGTGACCTCATTCCCCCACAGGGAATCAACATCATCATCGTATCTCTGATTAAATCCCTTCGTTCCTCATCTGCTGTTGCTGAATGAGATCATATTTTGACTACAAAGCTCATTTCCTTCCTATTATTATATCTGGATTCTCAAAATCCTGGGCTTGTCACTGATGTGAAGCTTTGTGAGAAACAGGTTAAACAGAATTAAAATCGGGAACTTGAACTCACTTTTTGAGAGGTCCTGGCCCCGGAGCAGGGACGTGCCACAAATCGTCTTCTTCATTCATTACCGTTCAGAAACTCTTGCTGATATTTATAGTCTGTCTGAGGGAAACAGACACATCACACCATGAACCTTTAACAGCACGGCCTAATCATCAGCAGTGTTTACTTAATTTAACCCCTCATAACCTAATAATCAATCATGTTAATAATGTTTATTCCTCTGGTCTTTGTTTAATTCTTAAACCACAGCTTGGACGTGCTGTGAAAACGAGGAGTGTGGGTTGTGGTATCAGATATTTGGGGAATCATAACGGTAAATGCAGTAGTCAGTGCACGCTGCTGTTTTCTGTTAATGTTTCACAGCTGGTGGGGTTTGAGCCCCCAGATACCTGAGACAACTGACCATACAAGGACAGCAGCGTCTCCAGAGGGATTCGTCCTCACTGACAGACTGAATGCAGGCTCACAGCAGCAACGCTAGAACACATATTCAACAGCGGAATGATTTTTAACATTGAGACACATTGTTATGATAAATAAATCTCACTGAACATACTTCGTGATGTCGGCCCTAATTTATTCAGTTAAATTCCCTCGCTGGAGAAGTTTTATGCATAACAAAGTTTTTTTAAATAATGAAATCTATAGGCTACAGATGCTCACTGTGCGACCTGCAACAATAAGAGCCATGGGGGTTTAACCACAGGATATATATAAGTCAGGAATTGTAGCTTCAGGATTATAAATGCGCCGTGTTAAAAAAACTCCTGCAGTTTAATGACTCCTGTAATGTTTACAACCATTCAAGAACACATTAACCACTGGTATTAAAAGCATGATAACTTGACAATACCAATTTTTACAAGGCCCTTTCACAACCTCTACGTGTTATTGGAAGTTTCCTTTTACTTTCTTGAACATGTGTTATTGTTGCTTTTACCCAGCCTATGTGAATATGACTTCACATTTAGTTTTTATATTTTATGTCCTTTTTTAATGAAAACTAAAAGCAACTTTTCCCATGCTCTAGTTTTGGAGAAAAAACACCAAACAATAGAAAACATGGATGTTTTAATTTATTGGTATAGTCATGGCTGGGACTTTCATTTCTTGTGGTGAGTAGAAGGATGTTTTTGATGGAAGATATTTGATGTAATAGCAAGAAAAGCACAGATGTAACTGATAGCATTTATAACAACTAGACCCAATTAGTTCCTGCTTAATGTTGGGCCCAGGTTTTGTGTATGCTGGCTCATTAATATTATACTTGTGCCTTTGCTCTTCCTTTCCATTGGACTGACTAACAATCCAGGCCTGAATTCATGGGTTTCGCCTGAACTCTGTCACCACTCCTTTCCTCAAGCCTTCAAAACTAATTTGGCCTCATATCACAAAGTAACTTGGACAAGATGGATAGAGGTCTGGAGAGGAGAAAGTGGGAGGGGAGTGTAAGGTCAGGTGGAGGACGTTTAGTAGTTTATTTGCTTCATCGTCATCATCAACAATGGACGTCTGCCAATGATGAAGTGGCAATAACTGACATGCAGCCAACTCATACAGTACTCCCCAGCAGGGATGCTTTTTCTATATTCTTCATGACTGTTTGGGCTCTTTGCTTTGCTGAATTTGATCAGATGCCTGTCTGACTGTATTAAATGGTGGGTGGGAATATAATAAACACAAGTGCACAGTACTGTAACAAACACACCACACATGACATTACAAGTACTATGGGCTATGTTATATGATATCAAGATAAACATTTGTGTAAATTGTTTGTGGTTTTCTTCACGAGTAGAGAATGACAGCAAAAACACTTCACAAATCTGAGGCCGATCCGTTATGTGTTATGTGAATTACATCAATATATACATTGGATTATTGTTATATTGCTATGGATGAAAAGGAAAATAATGACTGATATTTGTTTCCGTGCCCACCACTAATTCCAAGTTAAGAAGTAACACTAATGTGATGTAAAGTAAGATTATAAATCTGTATGACTGTGGTGGTATTGTAACAACTATCAATTCTTATATTAAATAATCTAGGGCATATCTTTTATATGATTATACAACAGATGACAACATGTGCACAACAAAGAACAATACAAGTATCTGAACGCCTTTTCCTATTTCCTCTGATTCACAGAGAACATGCAGCAGCATCACTTTCCAGCAACAGAGGAAGAAACATAAACAAACCTATGCTTCCATCTAGTGCTGATAGACTGTACTGCACAAAGCCCTCAGTGGGTATTTGAGTTTAAAAGTTATCTTTATATTATTACGAATAAAAAGCTGTTATATTAATACATACATAACATATTTTGCATTAATACTTTATTTTATAAATAGTCTAGGTATGATTGTGTACACCAAGGGTCAACATTGTTATATCATCAGATATAATAATAATGATAGCTTCTAATAGGTACCTTAACTGCATATGCCTTATTGTTATTATTATTATTTTCTATATTTTAGTTTATATGTAAAGAGGCTGATTTTTATGTGTACCCGCTGCAGGGGTCACATTTATTTCAAGAGTGGGTTATGCGAATATAATTTCTAAAACTTTCAGTTGTCCAGTTTCAGATTACCGTGAAGGCAACAGGCTTTCCGACGTCACTGACACGGCCACCATGTTGGATCAGGAAGTGGAAAGAGTCGGAGCAGGAATCCCGAGCGGAGCTTAAAGAACTCGGCCGTCTTGATCCGATCGACCCCCCGCGCAGTCCCCACGTCCTCACCCTCGCCCCGGGTTTCATGCCGTGTTGCTCGCCTGCCGGTCCAGGTCGCCGCTTCTCCCCGCATCCGCTCGATTTGCCGCAGCCGCGATGAACTCGCTCACGCAGAGGACCTCGGGCCTCGTCCAGCGGCGCACCGAGGCCATCCGCAGCGCCGCCGACAAGGAGAGGGAGTCCGGCGGGGAGGAGGAGGAGGCGCGCCGCGGGGAGGAGGAAGAAGACGACAAGGGGGACTCGAAGGAGACCAGGCTCACACTGATGGAGGAGGTGCTGCTGCTGGGCCTCAAGGACCGAGAGGTGCGGGCTCGCTGGTCAATCTGTAATCTTGTAACTTAATCAACACAGTGTCGCTCCGCTTAAAGTCTCGCTGATCGATCTAATCCCGGCGGTGGCTAACTGTTCCCGGGTTTGTTTGGTGGAGAAAGGGAGAAGTTTGCTGGTGTAAAAATGTAACATGAAGCTAGTTAGCCAATGTTTGCGAGGCAGCGTGTCACTAACTCACATTGTCAACATTTACTAACGCGTGGCTGCTTATGTGTGCAGCCGAGTCAAGAGGTGAAACGACCGGTGCACCAGCTCCGGGGTAGTTTTCCCGAAGACCTGACTCCTGGTCGACAACTCACACACCGGCCTGCTAACACGTCACCTAAAGTAAACAAGTTCCGCACCTTCGCTCACCTTGTGCGTCTCCTCCTCCTCCTCCTCCTCTCCGCAGGGCTACACGTCTTTCTGGAACGACTGTATTTCTTCCGGACTTCGCGGGTGCATGCTGGTGGAGCTGGCTCTCAGAGGGAGGCTACAGCTGGAGGCCTGCGGCGTGAGGAGGAGAAGCCTGCTGTCCAGGAAGGTGAGGCACCGCGCTGGTGTGGTGAGGTAAACAGTCAGCGCGTCTGCTGGAGGTAAAGCAACCAGGGCCGAGGCCAGAGGGGACTGAGGTGGGCTGGGTGGAGCAGGACAGACGTGGCGAGCTGGAGCGAGCTTCTCCTCCGTCAGAGTCCCCAGCTGCTGGAGTAGTTTACCTGATTTATTCCAGAGGAAAAGATCATAATCATAGAATATTCAGTCAGAATATTCTGAGATAAAAGTCGTAACTTTACGAGAAACAATGTCACAAAATGTGTAATATTATGATAAAGTTTTCAAGAATAAAGTCATAGCATTTTGGGGAAAAGTCACAATATTACATGAGTAAATTAGTTAAATTATCAAAAGAAGGACTAAGTTTACAAGAATCAAGTCTTAATGTTTCAAGACAATAGTTGTAACAATAACTTTGTAATATCGTGAAAGAAAGTAGTACATTTACGAGGAAAAAGTCGTCATATTTCCGAAGTAGATTTGTTATATTACAAAAAGATGTAATAATATTATAAGAGTAAAGTCGTAATTTTTCAATAAAGTGGTTGTAACAATAAAGTTGCAATATTGTGGGAAGAAAAGTTGAAATTAGAAGAAAAAAGTTTTACAGGAACAATTTTTTTTTTACCAGAATAAATTCACAAGATTATAAAAGACATAATAAGTTTACAAGAGCAAAGTCAAACTGACACAGCCACGGTGGTGTTGCTGCTACATTAAATATTGATGTAGTAATTGTACTGCTACAGGTGTTGAGAAGAAAACTATGCAGGTTGTATATCAGTGTAGCCTGGCTTGCTTTTGAACTCGTTAACAATAGGACTTATTTCTCCTGTAGAGACCGGTTGTCTGCACATTGCTAAGCAATCCAACCCCTTGCTAAACCTGTAGCTGAAAAGCGTACTGATACATACCAGATCATTTGTAGAGATTCCTGCTCATGCAGGATTTAGTCTAGGTGTGTGTTTGCTTAATAAGAGGCGTTGTCAGCCATCGTATTTCAAATATGTTTTACAAATGTTTGCCAAGGTGATCTGCAAGTCAGACGCTCCGACGGGAGACGTGTTGCTGGACGAGGCCTTGAAGCACGTAAAAGAAACCCAGCCTCCAGAGACGGTCCAGAGCTGGATAGAGCTATTGAGTGGTGAGATAAAAACGCTGCCCACTGAGTCACTTGTTGAGCATGTGACCTTATTTCATTTTCATGTTCACACTTCTTACATTTCTAGGTGCACTGTTTGCCCAAGTAGTTGACAGCTGTAAAATCAAGCAGCAGCATCAATTACATAGTTTTTAAAGGAACAGTGTCAAATATTTGCAGGTTCCAGCTTCTTACATATGATCATTTCTTGCTTTCTTTGTCCTACATGACAATACACTGAATGTATCTCGTTAGTTTTTTTTTATCTCAGAAGGACAAAACAAGAAACTTGAAAATGTCACCTTTATACATGTAGACTTTATCAGTATAATTTAATTAAAAACATTTTTGGGGGAAAATAAAACTTTTCATTGATAAGATCAATCACAGTTTATTCGAACCATCAACACCACTCATCCAAAATGTAAAGTAATTAATTTGGAATCAGCAGAATAAACATCTTTTAAGTTACTTAACATGACTTCACACTTTTCTCCACCAAGAGACGACTCAAAACTTTGAAGTGACTAAACAACGCTGACATACACAGAAATGTCTTAAAACAGATGTGCTGTTTCCTTTCAGGAGAGACCTGGAATCCCCTGAAGCTGCACTACCAGCTGAGAAATGTTAGAGAGCGTCTGGCTAAGAACTTGGTTGAGAAAGGCGTCCTCACCACCGAGAAACAGAACTTCCTGCTCTTTGACATGACTACACATCCACTCACCAACAGCTCCATTAAACAGGTAAAGTGCCTCTTTGTTGTGCATTTAGGTCAATACAGCTTTTTCAAGTAATGGAGGAAAATCAGTTTGAATCAGTGTTGGGGGTTTTTCACCGGTAAGAAAAAACTTTATGATTGTTTGCGAGCATAGTTATTCAGCTTTTATGAGGTTGACAATTAGTCTCAGCCTAAACGTCAGCAGCTTTGAACTGAACTTGCGAGATAAAAGTCCAACTGAAATTAAAGTGCATGTTTTTACTGCTATAGCATACACGTCTGCTCTGCAAATTACTTTTGGTTTTTACGATTAGCACCATATATGTTTCTATTGACCAATCAGAAACCAAGCAATTCTCACGAGCTATCACTTCAATGTTGGTTTAAAACTGATTGTGTCTTTTCTAACCTACAAACATTAACACACGTCGGTTCCTGAACCTCAGCATGCGACCAAACAAACACTCTGAAGCAAAAACTGCTGTTTTTCTCACTGCTGTTTGTTTACACTAATGTCTGGTCTGAGAAATAGTTTTTCAACACACAGAGAGCAGCATAGAGAAGCCAAATTGAATTTTGTAGGTGGGGAAGGGTGAACCACACAGGACGGGAAATGTGTCAGGGAAAAGTTGTTGCTGGGGGCTGGGATTGTCAGTGATGAATGCTGTCATAAAAATATATTAGAACCCAAAGCACATACTGTTTTCCCACACTTATTTACAATGATTTTGCCACTGTTAAAATGATATCTCATATTTGAAAATGTAAGTATGAAATTAACTGACATGCTGTTGTTTACCACAGTGGCCGTTCTTTATGCTAAGTAAAGCTAGCCATCTGCAGGCTGCTGTTCCATATTGAAAACAGTTATTAGAGCAGTATTGTTTTTTCATCTCAATTCTGGCAATAAATTAAATACTTGTATAATACATGTAACTACTGCTTTAATATTGCTTAATTACTATTTCCTTCACATAGTTAAAGGTACAGTGTGTAGAATTTAGCGATATTTAGTGTTGAAGTTGCATTTTGCAGCTGAACTCACCTCACCCTCTCCTTCCAAACATGAAAAAGAACCTGTGGTAGCCTTTAATTGTCATAAAAACTCAAAAGGTGTTTAGTTTGTCCACTCTGGACTAATGTAAAAAACATGGCGGCCTCCTAAGAGAGGAATCCCTCCATGTAAATATAAAGTATTTAAATATAAATGGCCTTTTCTAGGGTAAAAGAATTATTCTATATTAAATTTCTGCCAATAGTTCCCTTTCACCTAAATCTTACACACTGGACCTTTAAGGTATTTAAAGCTTAAACTTGATGCATGTAAAACACATATTCCTGTTGTTCCCTGCAGCGCCTTGTCAAGAAGGTCCAGGAGTCTGTTTTGGAGAAGTGGGTCAACGACCCCAACCGCATGGACAAGCGGATCCTGGCTTTGATCCTTCTGGCGCACTCGTCAGATGTTCTGGAGAATGCCTTCGCCCCGCTCCAAGATGACCAGTACGACCTGGGCATGAAAAGAGTCCACACTCTGCTTGAGCTGGAGCCGGAGAAAGAGAGCGCAAAGCCCAATGCCAACGAACTCATGTGGGCTGTCGTGGCTGCGTTTACTAAATGAAAACACCTGACTGGTTGGACTGGAAGATCTGGCTGTGGTCTGTGTTATTTAATTGGTTGAAGGACTTCACTTAAATCAGACAGACTTCACTTTAATGAGACAATCTGTCGGGGAGCCTGTTTGTACTGTACATCTATTCCGGAGGACATTTGGGGGGCGGGGGGAGGGGCTAGTGAATATTAACCCAGTGCAATCTGATTGGTGGTGGGCCTCACCAAGTCACATTTGGTTGGCTGGAAAAGTCTCTAAATTAAAAGTGACTGGCTGCTTTTTCACAGTGAGGAAAGTGATCTGTCCCTACGAGGCTGGGTTTACTTGGAAACACTGACTCTACGAACAGTCGGGCTTCTGTTAATGTTAGACGGCATCAAAGAACAAAGCAGATGGCAGAAGTAGTCATGGTGAATATGAAGATTATGACTGAGGCCAATTTTCCCTTCCACACAAAGGAAACATCATCTCTCCATTGCAAGACCTGACCAGAATCAAACCCTGGTCTCCACACTCTTCCCCATGCTTCTTTATGCAAGGATAATGGATAGCAAGCTATTGGCGCTCTTTGCACTCACGCAGGTCTCCTGCTTCCACCTACTCATTCCCACTTGTGTTGGGAGAGCATGCTTCGGGTTACTGTTCGCAAATTACCTGAACGCTTGACTGACTCCCTTCCATCTCCTTTCTTCCTCATTGCATTGTGGGGAGGAGAGTGAGGACTGATATAAACGCAAGATCAGTTCTCGCATCATCAAGGATGAGCTGGGTAATTTGGTGCTCATCGACTGACCTGAATGAAGAATTAAACCTTGAGTCAAAGAATATCTTTTATCGTATTAGGTCGCTTCTCTTTAGCAAGGGTCCATGCCATTTTGTGTTCATACAAGACGCGTCTTCCATTTTTATTTATGTTGACTAGTCTGTCAGTTATCAACTCTTTTGCACAGTCAATAGCCCTGTAGGTTGGATAGTATTTATAGGGATTATTCTTGAGTTGAGTAACCCACTTGTGAAGATGGGATTGTGAGATATTAACCTTAGCATCCATGGTAAAGAAAAAAGAGATCTCATTACAGTTATTGATCTCTATTGATGATGAGTACTCTAAAATCATTCCTCTGGACTATTTTTAAGTGTGACTTGCTCTTTGAAGACGTGGGGGAAAAGCTATTCAGTCTGTTCAGGTTTGGATCTTTGTGGAAATTCCACATTAGATTTACAATCTGATGGTTAGCAGGGCTGGGAGTTCTTAGCCAAATGTGCTAGTTTCAGTTTAGAAAAAACGTTTAAAGGGTTAATTCACCCAAATTATATATAAAAATCTATATATATTTTCTTAGGTAACACTAGTGGTATCAAGCCTTGCAGATAATTTCTGTGATATATTTAGTTTTGACACACTCGCCTCTTAGATATCTGCTCCTATTCTAATGCAATGAGGGTGAAATGAATTTCTAGATCAGCAGTAAATAGGATCCAAATGCAACATGTCATGCAGGAGTTTCCCTGTGACTATTCCACAGACTTAACGGAATGATTTTCTAAAGAAAGATAAAGAGATTGCCCCTATGAGAACGATGAACAGTATGTCCTGTGGTTTATACCATCAGATAACAACAGAGGAACGTGAGGACAATGCATTTTGTAATCTGGGTGAACCCAGTCTTTAAGTTTCTCTCTTGCAATGTAATGTATTTCTCAGTTTGTATGTCACATTATAATTTCCACCTATTGTGTGTTGTATTGATTTATACCTGCAGTTGACGGGGCCCAGATGAATCCTAGTTTAATACTGAACAACATGCAGTCCTAACGTGCTTTAGTGCAGGTCTGGGAAAACTCCTGTTATCATATAAAGTCACAATTGTAAACATCAATCTGGTTTGATTGGTGTGATACATGTATGAAGCTATATCATCTATTGTGACATGGCATATTGCTGTCAGGTTTTTTTTTTTTATACTACAAAACATCTGTAGGTATGAAGAACTCTTGAGATCTGTTTACTGCAAAGAGACCATGCATGCTATTGGTGGAGGGCTGGGGTACTTGTGGATGTAGCTACAGAAAAAGGCTTGTATATGTCATTTTATGTGTACGATCTAATGGAATTCAATGAAAGGGATCTTCTGTCCTATCCTCTATAGTTCTGTATGCTTTTGTATTACCACACAAAATAAAGTAAGGATCCTTTAAGTGCCTGAATTTAGCAATGTTCTGCTCTTGTCTTCTTTTATATTACTTCATTAGATGATAATTTAACTGAAAGAAAAACAATCTCCAAATATTCGGAGGCATTATAATTAACACATACAAATATTTTGAGGTTACAGGTTCTTAATTGAGAGAATATCCTTTTAACATAACTAAAAAAAATCTTAGATTCTTTGATGAACAAAACAGAATTTTTCGAATCCTTAAGATGAATTGAATAATTGGACTAATAAGTGAAAATGAAAATAGCAGTAAAATAGCATAACAGTGTATTCGAATCTAGAATACAATGGACAGATAGATATCCCTGAAGTCTAACTGACTTGGTTAGAGAGACGTGCATGTGTGTGTGAGGCTGAGAGTGTGAGATTCTCAGATGGACAAAACAGACAGGATGTTTTAGAATCCTGATGAATAAAATAATTGGCCTAATAAGTTAAACTTAAAAAAGTAGCATTATACAATCAACAATACTTTAAATGGAAGATTTCCATGTACGTCAGACAAAACATTATCTGTCAATATTTTAATGTCCATCATGCAGTGTTTTCGAATTTCTTAAATAGGACTCATGGAAAATAGGACGAGGTGGCCGAGTGGTTAAGGCGATGGACTGCTAATCCATTGTGCTCTGCACGCGTGGGTTCGAATCCCATCCTCGTCGGGGTTAGTCTTTGTTTGTTTACAGTATTTCCACGATGACATCATGAGGGTGTGTTTGTTTAATTGTCCCACAGTGGAACTAACATCTGATATGTGACCCTATTGTGAAAAATCCACCTACAAGCACCTGTACAGATGTAAAATATGTGTTTATATAGAAAATGTTAGCTATATAATATATAACCTATGCTGCTCAACAAATTGTGAGAATCACACATCAGATTTTGATGAATTATTCAAGTTGAAAATCTTAACTGACGTACATTGTATAATTTGTTAAGAGCAAAATGATGTAACAATGGTCAATGGAAACCAAACTCATTAACCCATTGAGGGCTTGATTCAAAACCACCCCGAAAATCTAAGTTCAAATTTAAATCACAGGCTGATTCTCATGGAGTCAAGACAGTTTAGTTGGAAACATGCACACCTGCTGGAGGGCTCTGGTACTGCTGCTCCTTTATCTCCACACACAAAAGAGCCGATATCTTATTTACATGTCCTGACGATATCGGTCCTGCTGCTGGGTTGATGCCCCTCTACGGCCCTGTCCAGCTCTCCTTGGGTAACGGCCGGCCTCCTGGTATTTCCTCCATGCTCTTGAGACCGTGCTGGGAGACACAGCAAACCGTCTTGCTTCTGCACATTTGGATGTCCCATCCTAGAGAAGCTGGATTACCTGTGCAACCTGATTTGGCTGCAGGTACGGCCTCATGCTACCAGTAGTGATAAGGACACTAGAAGAACACAAACCTGGAGAAGAATCAGTCAGGAAGGATGAGGAGAGAGCAGCTATCTGTGTCCACCACATGTAAAACCATTCCCTTTGTGGGGATTGTCCTGTTTTTGCCTCTCCACTACACCTGTTGTCACTTTCATTTGCACCAAGCAGGTGAAACTGATTCACAATCACTTGTGCTTCCTAAATGGACAGATAGATATCCCTGAAGTCTAACTGACTTGGTTAGAGAGACGTGCATGTGTGTGTGAGGCTGAGAGTGTGAGATTCTCAGATGGACAAAACAGACGGGATGTTTTAGAATCCTGATGAATAAAATAATTGGCCTAATAATTAAACTTAAAAAAGTAGCATTATACAATCAACAATACTTTAAATGGAAGATTTCCATGTACGTCAGACAAAACATTATCTGTCAATATTTTAATGTCCATCATGCAGTGTTATCGAGTTTCTTAAATAGGACAAGTGGAAAATAGGACGAGGTGGCCGAGTGGTTAAGGCGATGGACTGCTAATCCATTGTGCTCTGCACGCGTGGGTTCGAATCCCATCCTCGTCGGGGTTAATCTTTGTTTGTTTACAGTATCTCCGTCTCAATCTCCATTTGTTTGTCTCATTGTTCCACAGTGGAATTAACATCTGAAATGTGCAGCTGCTTCAGTTAGTTCATTCTGGAAACTCAGCCACATTTACAAGCACCTGTGACTTGTATGACAAACAGTGGAAACAAAGCTGGACTTAAAACCAAATGGACAGATTTATGTCCCTGAAGTTTAAATGACTTAGTGTTATCCATCCCCTTAGTTTAACTGACTTTGTGCTGTACTGAAACGATTTAATGTTCACTACACACACATATATATATATATATATATGTGTGTGTGTGAGTGTGAGTGTATTTGCATAGCTCTATCTATTGTTGAAGGCCAATTGTGGTTTAATACCATCATTGTTGTCTGGCCCTCACAAACTCAATAGGCAGATGGAGGGTTAGGACCTGGTTAGGGTAAGTATTACGTATTATGTCAATAAGTGTCCTCACTAGATAGAGAGGTGTGTGTGTGTGTGTGTGTGTGTGTGTGTGTGTGTGTGTGTGTGTGTTTGTGTGTGTATGTGTGTGTATGTGTGTGTGTTTATAGATATACATACACACACATTCTTGATATTCTATCGTGGTGAGGACACTAATTGGCATAATACATTCCCTAACTGTAACCACCAAAAATAAAAGCCTAACCTAAACCTTACTTCTAACCCTAAAATCAAGGGCAATGTGTGGAATCTAGTGACATCTAGTGGTGACTTTGCATGTTGCAGCTGAATACCCCTCACCTCACCCTCCCCTTCCAAACATAAAAGAGAACCTGTGGTAGACTTCAGTTGTCATTAAAACTATTGAAAAAAAACGGAGAGAGGACCTGCTCCCAATGTAAATATAAAGTATTTATATATGTCGGGTTCATTCTCGGGTAATAAAAACAACAATTCATACAATTTAAATGAAACACACTCTTAAAAACATCAGTAAGATTATTTTATGAAACAGCCCTATGAAAATTACCTAATTTTTCCCAAAATATCTGTAAGGTCTAGGTTCATAATGGTCCTCACCAATATATCTGTACAGGCACACTGAGCTACCTGGTCGCTGGCTCCAGCTTAATATTTACCATACAGACAGAAGAGTGGTATCAGCTTTTTAACTCTCTGCAAGAAAATGTGATTACAATTATTTTCATTAACTGGCCTGAAGCTGTTAACAACCACAGCCACACATGACACAAGGGACAGGACTGATCTATATATATTTATTGTTGTGAAACACCTTCCATGGTAAAAACATGAGGAAGATTTTTGAAGGCAATAGGCTACTGGAGTCACAGTAAACATAATGTGACAGCCTTAGAGAACATGACATGCATGACTTTCCACATATACAGTCAAATGTACAGAGGACATGTGTCAATCTTCAATGGTTAACTTCATCCAGCTGTTCCTTCCTGGTCCAAGTTGAATGTGTGAGTGTCCGTGGATCAGCAGCATCCCGCAAAGCTGAGCTAGAGTCCATTGACGGATCACGTCCAGCGACTCCATTCGGATTGTTTCCGCAAGCTTATGTACATCCCACGTGAGAGCCACCATTTTGCCACCTGCGGTGAGTCTGGAATCAAGACTCTTTTTTTTTTTAATTTCCGGATACCTATGACTTGAGTAATTCTCAATTCATGTTGACGTCCATCATCTCCGTGTCTCATTTGATCTCAGTCACAGTCTTGTAGTTCCTGATCAGGATTTTCAGCAGCCTGTATCTCCAGTAAAGCTCATCTCCGACTTGGCGAAGCTCGAGAGCACAGTAAGCAACAATAGCGCTGGGATCTGTGGGTAGAGGACACAATGAATGAATCCATGAATCAATGATCAAACGATAAATGAAGCTTGATTAACGAAAGTTAAAGTTCTTTGATACTCACCTTGGTCAGCCATTGCCATAATGCGTCTGTCTGCGAGGGAGAAGAGAAGAAGTGTACTTTAAAGTCTCAGTCTTTCTCTTCCTGTTTGCGCTTAGAAAGCTCTGTGGTTGTTGCTCGACAAGAAGGAACAGGTTTGAACTATTGATAGCAGGCAGGCTTAAATACTGGTGGTGACGCAGGTTTACAACAGAGGAATCCCCTGCAGTCACTGCCAAGTTCCTCCCAGTCCTAGCTACGCTGCTCTCTTTACTATATTGTTTTCGGAAACCTTTAATCAAAAGCATTACATGAATTATTTAGCCTTTTGTTCACTTTGTACTTGTACTTGTCTTCTTTAATTTTGATCAACATAGACACGATCATGTGGGCAGATCACGTAAGAATTAAAGGTCTTCACAGGTTAAGACACTGTATTAGGAATTTAGGATACAAAAAACCGAGTTTAAGTGATCTGACTTAATGGAAAGTGTCAATAACAACGAAACCAACTGTGATGTGACACGTGGAACAAGGAACTAACACACAGAAATGAGGTGTTGCTTTTTGCTGAGCAGTTTTCCGAGGCTCAGCTACAGTTCTCAGCAGCACTAGTTACTGATTGTTTGACCTGATGGGGAGATAGTGACGGAAAGATATTCAGACACGTGGGTTGAATTTACAGCCATAATTTCATAAAGAGGTCAGTGTTATACAAGTTTTAAAAATGACCCTCACTGACTATTTATTCAACACAAAGAGACATTTCATTCATGTGACACCTCCTGTGATGTCAAGTACACACTCCAAGGCAGTGACTTAAAAGGGGCTGTAATGTACAAATATTATACTGAATGTGTGTGCGTGCCTCTGGGGAGGAATCACACATGACGTCTCAGCAACATGGACAGTAAAGGCATGGTGGACATGTTAAAGCTTGTCCCACAGCTGTCTGCCTCTCTCTGAACAAGGAACAAGGAACTAACTTGCTCATGTGATCTGAAACCACCAGCGTAACATTACATCAGTCTGAGGAAGAGAACACTGTAGTTTTAACTAATATATATATATATGTATATTTTTAAATCGGTCTAAAGATTTTTATGATTTGATCATTCATTAGAAACATAACAAGTTGACATCCGAATCTTAAACTATTTTCAAAACTGAAACCATCTGAGGAACCCAGACAGGATATCTCACTGTGGCGTAACTGCTAAACACATCACAAACATGTGATGTAACAAAACACCGTCACTTACAGTAAGTCATGTGCCCTAAAACACCTCAGGCTTAGACATAGACACTGTTTTGTATTTCATCAACCTAATGTAATATATTTAATTCATGACATCTAAGTATGTAATGTGATAAGTAACTGTATAGTAGAGGAATAAAATGAAATGTGGAGAAGTAAGAATAAAACATCAAATAGTAATAAGTAAAGTTCAAGTCACTCTTCATATATAACTTACGTAAATGCTGTCTTTTTTGAGCACAGTTATGTTCCTGTTTACTGTAAAAGGAACGTCGATACAGAGAGAGAAAGAGAGAGAGAGAGAGAGAGAGAGAGAGAGAAAGGGAAAGCGAAAGAGAGAGACGCAGAGAGAGAGAGAGAGAGAGAGGGAAAGAGAAAGAGAGAGACACAGAGAGAGAGAGTGTGTAAATAAACCATGAATATTCTTGTCTGTGCGACCGTACCTACATTATTAATGTTTATTTATTAGCCATGTAATAGTTTGAACAATACGTCAGCAAAGTTTCTGTTGTTGTTGTTGTGTGGAAAATATCTTCCTCAAAATGTGTCTGACGTGGAACAGGAAACCACAAAGTGTGTGTGTGTGTCTACGGGAGGGTTCTTAAATATTGATACAGTGCAGGTTTCTGACATTGATGACGTGGCAGAGCAGAGTTAGTCAGATCCAATCTCTGTGATCAAATCAAGATTAAACTGACGGCAGTGATTTCATTAATCCATTCATTTAATCCAGATTTAATTCACCAAATGTTTGAGCTCCTGATTTAAATGGGCAGAAAACTTTATTGCTAAAGGTAAAGTAAAACCATACCCAGGTTTATGACTGAGCTCATTTAGATTCAAGAGC